CCCGCTCAGAACTCCTCTGTTGATTTCGCCGTGAATGCCGTCCCACGATCCGACACCAACCACATGGGCGTCCCATATGTTCTAAATATCCGAGTCAGAAAATCAATTACCGCCGCCGCGTTTGTTGTTTTAACCGCCTCCAGCAATACGTACTTTGTTAGCCCGTCAACCAATACGATGATATGTTCCTTTCCTTTCGACTTCGGAAGAGGTCCTAAATGATCAATATGGACTCGTTCGAATGGTCGTCGCTCCGGCCTTATTGGATTCAGCATTCCCTCCTGTCTTCCAACCGCCGCTTTATTGAACAGACATTCCATACACGATTGGATATGATGAACCACGTACTGCTTCATCTTCGGAAAACAGTAAAACCGCCTCATTATTCCGATTGTTTTCTCAATTCCAAAGTGTCCCGCTTTATCATGTGCCATTACCAGCAAGTGCTTTCGCATTTTCGCCGGTACCACAAAGCTCAACCATCCCTTCTCGGCATGAAACAGCACTCCGCCTCTCAATTTGAAGTCTCTGGTCATCGTCTTCTCTCGTACCGTGCTCTCTTCCACCGGTTTCCGCATCATTTTCATCTTTTCCTGTATATCGATATCATCCGCCTGCATCATCATCATTTCATCATAGGTTCGTACTGCCGTACACACTAGCGTCGCGGTCGTATCCGTAGGCAACTCCTCCTCTCTTGAGGCCTCTCCCGCTTCCTCGAACGGCTCCCTACTCAGCGCATCCGCATGTTCCATTTTCATTCCCGCTCGGTGTTTGACTTCGAAATCGAATTCTGCTATGTATCTTGTCCCACCACCGACAAAGTTGTGGTGATCCATTCTTTGTTTTCAAAGCCGCCACAGCGCTGCAGTCCGAAACCACCGTGAATTTTCTTCCATGAAGATAGTGCCGTAGTCTTTCCAAGCTCCACACAACCGCCAGTTGTTCTAACTTCGTGGAATGGTAATTTCGCTCCGAATCCGACAATTTCCGACTTATCGCGTAAACCATCCGAAGTTCACCGTCCACCCTTTGGAGTAAAATCGCGCCTAACCCAACGCAGCTATCGGTATGTAGCTCGGTTTCTCTTTCTGGGTCGAACCTCACTAACACTGGATCCTTCAGCAATGCTTCCTTTAATTTCGTGAACGCCTCTTCTGCTCTGGGATTCCACTCGAATTTAGCTTCCTTCCTAAGTAACGGACCCGCTATCGACGCATAACCTTCAACAAAGCGCCTGAAGAAACTCGTCAATCCCAACCACCTTCTCACTTCGTGTACGTTCTTTGGTCTTGGAAATTCTTCGATTGCCGCTAGTTTCCTAGTACCTGGTCGAACCCCTTCCACCGACACTTTGAATCCCAGAAATTCTACCGTCTCCATGAAAAACTTGCATTTACTCAACCTCATCGTCAGTCCCGCTTCTCTCAACGCCATCAAAACCGCCTCAATTTGCTCAGATGCTCTCGGTAATCGTCTGCCGCCGTGATGAGATCATCCAGAAAAGGGTGAACTTGATTTCCCCCGCCTTCTTCACGGACCTTCATCAAAAGCTCCTGGAAGCAACTCGGCGCCCCGGACAGTCCCATCATCATGACTGTAGGCTGATAATGACCGTCGGGCGTGACAAACGCCGCCTTCTGAGCCGCCTCTTTCGCCATGGGAATTTGGAAATACCCCCACGCTAAATCAAACGTTGAGTAAAATCTCCTACCCCCGACTTCATCTAAGATGTCATCAATTAATGGGAGCGGATAATTTACTTTCATCGTCTGCGCATTCAATCGCCTATAATCAACCACCATTCTCCAGCATCCGTCCGCTTTCTTTACCAACATCACCGGACTCGCATACGGCGAACTTGAAGGTTCTATCATTCCGGCTTCCGACATCCGATCCAAAATTTCCTTCAAGGCCTCCCTCTCCGTCATCGACATGCGAAATGGCTTGCATAGAACCGGCGCGCTTCCGGGAAGTTCATTAATCGTGAACTCCGTCCACTTGGTTCGACCCAACTCTTCCATGGTTGTCGCGATTACCATCCGATACTTGTTAAGTAACTCCAGTAACAAAAATTTGGATTTACGCGGTACCGCTTCGTTAATCGCTACTTCTTCCAACTTGAGACTACGCCTCTCGAACTCCGCTGTACCACTCCCTACTAGTCCTTCTCTAATGACGTCATAATATTCGTCGCGCTTATCCGAGACCCTTTGCCCTCGCGCAATGACCGTCCCTGGTTTCAGACTGACCGTTTCGTTCTTGTGATTTATTACTGGAACCCTTACCGCCTTATCTTTAACCGTCAATAGTACATCGACCGTCGATCCGCTGCATACGCTCATGATACCGTCTTCCATATCCGCCGCTTCAGTATCTACCATGCCTATCGATCTCGGCTGGATTTTAACGCTCTCTCTCACCCTAAGCTCTACCTTCGTTGCCTCATTTCGATCCTCCTCTCTCTCGATTTTTTCTCCGTTTTGAATATGAAATCCACCTTAGGATCTTCCGGAGGTAATTCCTCCGCGATTTTCGCGAACGACGTCTTCTGCAACAACCACGAGAAACCGCTATAAAAGATTGATCCCAAACCCTCGTTGATCAAATCCTTCCCCTTTCTCTCAATCTCCCCAAATCTCTCAATCACTCCCTCTCCCTAAATCACTCACTCTCCCTAGATCTCTCAATGTCCCTAGATCTCTCACTCCCCCTAAGTCTCTCAATCTCCCTAGATCTCTCAATCTCCCTAGATCTCTCAATGTCCCTAAATCTCTCAATCTCCCTAGATCTCAATCTCCCTAGATCTCTCAATGTCCCTAGATCTCTCAATCTCCATAAATCTCTCAATCTCCCTAAATCTCTCAATCTCCCTAGATCTCTCAATCTCCCTAGATCTCTCAATCTCCCTAGATCTCTCAATCTCCCTAGATCTCTCAATCCCCCTGAATGTCGCAATCTCCCCAAATCTCTCAGTCTCCCTAAATCTCTCAGTCTCCCTAAAATCGCTCACTCTCCCTAAATCTCTCACTCCCCCTAAGTCTCTCACTTCCCCCAAATCTCTCACTCTCCCTCAATATCCCTAGATCTCTCAATGTCCCTAGATCTCTCAATGTCCCTAGATCTCTCGATGTCCCTCGATCTCTCAATGTCCCTAGATCTCTCAATCTCCCTAGATCTCTCAATCCTCCCTAGACTCCCTCACTCCCCCAAGTCTCTCACTTCCCCCAAATCTCTCACTCTCTCAATCTCTCACTCTCCCTCAATATCCCTAGATCTCTCAATGTCCCTAGATCTCTCAATCTCCCTAGATCTCTCAATGTCCCTAGATCTCTCACTCCCCCTAAGTCTCTCACTTCCCCCAAATCTCTCACTCTCTCAATCTCTGACTCTCCCTCAATGTCCCTAGATCTCTCAATCTCCCTAGATCTCTCAATCTCCCTAGATCTCTCAATGTCCCTAAATCTCTCAATCTCCCTAGATCTCTCAATCTCCCTAGATCTCTCAATCTCCCT